GGGGGGGGGGGGGGGGCAGAGCAAATATATTTAACTGCAGCATACTGAAAAGGGTTGTTACGCAGTTCAGTCCTTCACAGATGCAAAAAAAGAAAAGAAAAATTTCTCACTTATTAAATTGTGACACGTTTTGTCCTGAAAGTGTGAATGATGTTGTTTGACTCATGGCAGTTTCAGTATATATAAATCTCACTCAAAAGGTAGTCCTACTGTCCAAAACAAAATTGCTAGCCTTGTTTTACCAAATGCCATCTCATTAGGTCAGTTTTTTTTTGTTTTTTTTTAAAGAAAACCAACACATCTGAGATCAGGAAGATAAAAGACGGCTAAGATATAAGGACTGGGTATCAGTAAAACAAAACTCAGTGCTGATGCTTTTACAAATGGGATAGTTTGTAAAATCATGTTTTCTGTTTCTTTCTTGTCATCATTTGATCAAAGTAAACAACGTTCTGTGCAATATTTGTTGTTATTTTTCAAGCAGAATCAGACTCTACTCAATTGATTGCCTCAGTAAGAGTGTGATAGAAAACGTGTCAGCCAACTGTAAAGCCATTATTTGAAACATTATTCCTTTTTTAATCTCAAAAATGGATAGTGACATTGTCATCTAGCAAAGCACCAGTAAGTATCCCTGTTCAATACCCAGCCCTAAAGAAGATTTGAAGGGCTTCATTCCAAAACCTGATACTTTTTTTGCCCATTTTGGAAAAAGAGACATAATTCTTCTTGTACCAAATCTAAACATCTCGTTCTGTTCAACCTCATTGTCTGGTGTATGTTGTTACTAAAGGGTTCAGTAGTGCTAGTTTCTTACATTTTGTCTATTCAAATGGCAGATATCTCATTTTAGAATGAAACTCTTCATTTCAACTTCTGTATTGTACTAATCTAACATCGCAGATACACATTGATTCTTGTATATAATGTGGGTAATATTGCAACATTGTATTTCTACAAAAAAGATGGTCCAGTATTAAGCCAAAAGTACATCTAATGCCGTATCAATGTGAGCAGGAGAATGATATTTGGTTCTCAAAACACTCTACACAGGCTCCTGTCATTAAAAGTTGTAGCATGTTTGATTCCCTTCTTGAAACACTGAGGTGAGAGTTGATACTGAATCAATAAAAGACTTTAAAAGTCATCCAGATCACACTTCTGTTGCAGTACAAAATGCTCACCTGTATTTACCATACATTGTAAAAAGCATGCAGTACAAGGGTCATGGTGGAGATATTCATCTTAACATGTATTTTTATCTGGACTTCTGTCATCAAGGAATGAGGAGTTGATCTGATGTAGGATTTTGGCAAAGTGAGAATATATCCTTACCAGCGCAAATTATGGTCAGTCCCATGGTTTCCTTAAGCAGCACATGATTTTAACTGGTATAAATGACCAAATAAATGGATACAAAATAAATCTTCAACAAAGTACACACAAATACATACCTCATCTCTTTGTTCAGCTTTAACACCCTGTAATTTGTGCAGATGGTGAGGCAGATGATGTCTCTGTGTCAGAGTGTGTATTCAAATGTGTGTGACTAGATCTGTGTGCACTGTGTGTGTCTGTGTGCACTTTGTGTGTCTGTGGGCGTAAGCACATCTAAACTGTCAGCGTGACGCCAAGTGGGAGTTCTGATAGACGGATGAGTGCCTTTTTCATACTCACAGCTTGAACTGTGTGTGTGTGTGTGGCCTTGCATGTGAGTGTGTGTTTAAGTGAGCAAATCTATGAACAAAATGTCAGCAAAGGGCTGGTCTGGATTGTAAAGAGAGACAAGCGTGATTGTGAGGGGGGAAATGGGACACGAGTAACTTATACTGAAGGAGCAGCAGATTTTCCATAAAGTCACCCATTTCAGTCAATATGGCTGCTTATGGTCGGGATGGTGTAAATGTTTGTGTGCCCTCAACTGTCTCTCTGCGTCAGAGCTTGCAGCTCGGAAGTATGTAGGGAATGTTGGAGGAAGACGTTTTTACGACTGTAGCTATGCAGAGACAGAGGGCCTCGAGGTGGCTGTCCCAAACGACCCGTAAACGAGGAGGACGAGGAGGAGGAAGAGGTGGCGGAGGAGGGAGTAGGAAGCGGAGGGGAGGCTTGGACGGATGATGAGATGCTTGGAGAGGGGCTCCCTCTGCTAGCAAGACTGTGGAGGCTTGAGGAGGAGCTGGCCCCGACTGCACGAGGGATATGGCTAAGAGGTTGGTGCTCTCCCCCTCCTCCTCCTCCT